ACTGGACCCTGAGGAAGATTGTGGAGAAGGACCGATTCCAGACCTTGGGGACCTGCGGAAGCAGTGGACTGAGTCTGGTGTAGAAACATCCAGAGCCACCGTGCACAGGCGTGTGCAGGAAATGGGCTACAGGTGCCGCATTCCCCAGGTCAAGCCACTTTTGAACCAGAAACAGCGCCAGAAGCGCCTGACCTGGGCTACAGAGAAGCAGCACTGGACTGTTGCTCAGTTTTGCATGTCATTTGGAAATCAAGGTGCCAGAGTCTGGAGGAAGACTGGGGAGAAGGAAATGCCAAAATGCCTGAAGTCCAGTGTCAAGTACCCACAGTCAGTGATGGTCTGGGGTGCCATGTCAGCTGCTGGTGTTGGTGTACTGTGTTTTATCAAGGGCAGGGTCAATGCAGCTAGCTATCAGGAGATTTTGGCGCACTTCATGCTTCCATCTGCTGAAAAGCTTTATGGAGATGAAGATTTCATTTTTCAGCACGACCTGGCACCTGCTCACAGTGCCAAAACCACTGGTAAATGGTTTACTGACCATGGTATTACTGTGCTCAATTGGCCTGCCAACTCTCCTGACCTGAACCCCATAGAGAATCTGTGGGATATTGTGAAGAGAAAGTTGAGAGACGCAAGACCCTACACTCTGGATGAGCTTAAGGCCGCTATCGAAGCATCCTGGGCCTCCATAACACCTCAGCAGTGCCACAGGCTGATTGCCTCCATGCCACGCCGCATTGAAGCAGTCATTTCTGCAAAAGGATTCCCGACCAAGTATTGACTATTGAGTGCATAACTGAACATAATTATTTGAAGGTTGACTTTTTTTTTTGTATTAAAAACACTTCTTTTATTGGTCTGCTGAAATATGCTAATTTTATGAGACAGGAATTTTGGGTTTTCATGAGCTGTATGCCAAAATCATCAGTATTAAAACAATAAAAGACCTGAAATATTTCAGTTGGTGTGCAATGAATCTAAAATATATGAAAGTTTAATTTTTATCATTACATTATGGAAAATAATGAACTTTATCACAATATGCTATTTTTTTGAGAAGGACCTGTATATCACGATAGGGAAGAAATAACTATCTTTTCTGTTTCATGCCGACTTTAACCCACAAGTCGACACCATTGCTGAGTTAAAACTGCAGTGAACCAAAGACAGTCTCAAAAACACGGTTTGAAATCGCTGGTGTTTCTGACATCACAAACGACGTTGTAACCAATCAGATCAACGTGTGATCGTCAACCAGTGGATCTCTAAGTGAGTTTTTCCTCATGCGTTTAAAAAAAAAATCCTGTCCACATGAAAACGCAAAAACACGCTATCAAGCGCTGTCAACAGCATGCCACACCAGCAGGCGGCGATGTAACCCTAACTGTAAAGCCGCGTTGGCCAATCAGAAGCCTAACAAAAAGTTAATACAGGTTCCGGTAGGCGGATAATGGCGCACACTCTGACGTCGCAAGGCAAAAACCCCGGTTTTACTGTCTACACAACAACACTGTAACCGGCTTTTCTGAAAATCCTCACCCTGGCAGGGGTTTTCAAAAATGTTCGGTTTCAGTGACCTGATACTGCGTTTCCGTGTGGACGAACCGCGTAAAAAAAGTCAAGGTTATAAAAATACCCGTGTCCGTGTGGACAAGGCCTGAGTGAGTGAGTGGAGGCGGGGCTCATTTGCATATTCATAGAACCGCACATACTAAATGAGGCGAGGGTGTCGACTTACATTCAAGATATTTTAAGGCATGAAGACATTTTTTTTCAAGGAAAGAAATGCTTAAATGTGTAATTTTAGTGATCAAAGATGAGTTTTAAGAGATAAAAAGAATGACTACCGGGATTTATGAACATTATTTTATATAAAATATATATGTTATGAAACAAGTTGAACTCTAAAACAGCTAGAAAACCAAAGCCATAAATCTAAACAAGTTGTGTTCCAAATTTGAGGTCGATATCTCAAAAAATGATCTTTCAGTGAGATTTTGTTTGGGAGCAGTTCCAAATGTTCTTCATTAGATGCCAGCACAGCTCCGCTGGGACACAGTGGTTGGATTTGGGATTTGCAGTTTAACCATGATTTTACTACAAATAAACCCAAAAAAACATGGTTATTATTATTATAGTTAAACCATGGTAACTACAAATTAACCATGGTTTTGCTACACCAACCATAGTTGTACTCAATTGCCAAAAAACTGTGGTTACACTTTTACTATAATAAAACCATGGTTCATTTTCGTAAGGGTTTCTCTCAAATATTACAAGCGCACACACAATTTTTTTTATTACAAACATACAAACCACACTCTGACATCCCCAATTGGCTCTATAATATCCAGAAGCGGAAAACAGGAATAAAACGAGTATTTGCTTTATAGGCCAAACCTGAGAAACTGACACCATCTGGTAAAAAATAGTACAAATTTAAATTTTGAAGCCTTGCCAACAGAATGAAAGCCTATTAAAAAGATTGCATACATTTATAGTTAAATGGCCCTGGGATTAAAAATTGCAGTTTTATTGCATGGAACTATTTTGTGTACCTAGTGTAAAATATATTTATTAAAGGAAATGGGGGGTGAAATTGTAAAATTTCAATAAAAATAAAAAATACACACCTGTGCCAAAATGTATGCAGTTTGCATGAAGACAGGCAAAAATATCAACAACGAAAAAACTAAACCGAAAAAGACATCCATAAGGTCACAAAAAATATACATAAGGTCGCACAAGGGTTAAGCAAATATTTCCTCAAAATGATCCATATCAAACTTAGGGTTGGGAATCGAAAGAAATTTTCCGGTTCCCATTCAATAAAAATTATTTAAAACAACAACTAATAAAAACTAGTAGTAAGGGGAAAATTACTTAGCAATTTATGAAAAAATAATCATTTTTCTGAAGGAAAAGAAACATTTTTGCATTCTCTAGGATACTTTGGGACCTCTCCTAGCTTATAGTATCTCCATCAGTGGAGAATACCCTCTCAGAAGAGGTAGAATAAGCATGTAAGATCCAGACAGGTGAAACTGAATATTTTTAAAATCAGTTTGAATGATTGATTCATAAAGACTTCACTTATTTCATTCCTGGATGAATCGGCGCTCTAGCGGTTATAAACCGTAGACATCACACGTTGGTACCGTAGACATCAGTGTTTATACTCGAACTATAAACTTTTATGTTAGTTCTTCTGTGATCATTTGAATATTTGTAATCGATACTGTGTGGTTGAAAAGACTAAAAGTAAAGCGGTTTCATATATATTGGCCACTCCTCTCTCTGGGTCAGCGACACACCAAACAGATTTGAATGTTCCGGTGTGGAGTTTGTCATTTAGGAATAAGATCGCGTGGGTGTTGGAATCGAGATCTTTTAAAGATTAATCGTGCAGCCATACTGTCTTTATACTATCTCTCTGCGTTGATATCTGGCACAAAACGTATATGGGTAGCAAGGGCTTTTCAGCATTCATTACTATTTTAATATTCATGAGAATATTCATATTCTATTAAAGGTTAAGCTTCCAGCACTTCACCCACACATCACACCAGAACCGGTTTCAGAACCGAAACTTAGGAATTTCGCACGTTTCCGGTATTTTTCAAAAACACTAGCGGTTCTGGATAAGAACCGATTCTCGGTTCCCAACCCTAATCACACTGCATCCGGGCATTTTAGTGGTGTTCTTTTGTCAATTCCATTATTGAGTGATTTGACATTATTGTAATACAATATTGCAGATGTGCTTACGCGTGACTTTAGCAAGCAGCTGTAGGATTGTGTCACGGTTTATGAATCGGCTGTCTCACGCTGATGTGTCTGCGTGAGTGTATTGTGTGGGTGTGGTTACTCATTGTGCTGATTAGTGTCACCAGCTGTCATCCATTCCAGTTCCCTTTAAATACTCAGCAATTCTCTCCCTTGTTGTCAGATCGTTGTGGTTGTTCCCCGGTGTGTTTCCTGTGCTCGTGCCTCGTCTGCTGTTCCTCGTCTGGATGTTCGTCAGTTCTTCGTGTCATCTGGATGTTCACTTTCCCTGGGATTCACTCGAGCACGTCATCGCCTGTTTACCACCGGATCGCCATCTCGTCCCTGCTTCACTGTCCATCTGAGTGTTGTCCCCGACTTGTGCCTGCTTCATTGTTTCAGTCTGAATTATCCATTAAACTGAGTTTTTACTTGCATACTGCATCCTGCTGTTATTTCCTCACAGATTGTTATTCCCCTTGGATTGTATTCTTCGTGTTTTCCTTAATTTCCTTCCTGCCTTGACTAAAAGCAGCAAATAGATCCTTGCCTAACATTTTATTAGGGTACAACAGGGCTAAATTGACTTTTGTAAATTTCTTTCTCTTTTAAACCACTAGATGGCACAAAAATGCAGATCAGCACTTTTCTAAACAACCGCTTTAGATGATGAACGGGGAAATCTGTCTGATCCTTGACCGATCATGGACAGGACAGCAACGCAAGGTTGATTCTGCTCTAATTTGATCTAATATTTAATGCTTTTTAAAATGTTGTAGACTTATGTAGCAAATGAGAATAAATAAAATGTACTATATTTTGAGACAAAGGCCTAATAATTTTGTTCAAGATACTTATAGCAGCAACAGATTTTCAATAATGGAAGAATATGTAAAAGTACGATATTTTTTGGGGGAAACGCTCCTGCTATTGGGGCGAAAGACAATAATTTATGATAATAAATATCTGGCTGACTTCTTCAATTGTTAACAAGACATGGTAAGATTACGATGGTAAATATGACATTTCTAAACCAACAAACCACATTTATGATTTATTTTCACACAATAGAAATATGTTGCTCTATCAATGTTCAATACAGACATATATATTTTTCTGCAATCATACACTATGGGAGGAGTGAAAAGCACAAGGTGTGCCTTTAGCCCCGTTTTACCCTATGTTGCATTAAAACATAACATTTTAGTAATAAAGTATATGAAAGCTTTAATTACCTTTAGCATGAAGGTGTATCATATCAATATTGTGGTGTCCAGTTGTGTGATACTTCCTCAACTGCTTGGTTTTCCTGACTTCCATGCACTTCTCTTCGCCGCTGAATGGTAATGAGGCTAAAAGCAGAAGCAAGTGTGCAGAGAGTCCATTGTATTTATACCTATAATCACAAGCTTCACTAGACCTACTTAAATGTTCCCATTTATAGCAATTGTCCTATTAAGGGCAGCATAGTCAGATAAAATCTCATTTGTTGGCAGTATAGTTGTTCAGTGGTTTTCAGAATCAGTTTATTATTCTCTAAAAAGCACATAAAATTAATGCAGCCTTGAATGTCACAGATTGTGAAAGGCTAGTGCCCTTTTTCAACAGGCAAAACTAAATAGAACTAAATCAGCACAGAGGTCCATTATAGATAGTAAGCATAATTTGTTGAGAACCAAATACATACACAAACACAAACAGTGAGAATAATAAAAAAACATCAGAGTTATTTCAGTGATTACCTCGACGGCTCTCCATCAGTGTACTGTGCCGGTCATATCTGCTGCACACATACACACCACACACACACACACACACACACACACACACACACACACACACACACACACACACACACACACACACACACACACACACACACACACAGTGGTTTTTCAAATGAACAACACATTCTGAGATCATGGCCAATTTCATAAACCATTTGATCTTACAGAGTGGAAACTATAAATGGTTTCCTTAGACTGTGTAGTGTCAATCACACCTGGGGCCTGTACCATCATGGTAGATGAACAAACTCAGGGTTACAGGACTAGTTTAGAGTCAAAACCAATTTAACCAGGCTTTGTTGGTACCATGATGCTGATCATCAACTTTCTCTGTCAGCTCAGGCTTCGATCCTGAGTTTAGGAGTTTAGGCGTGACTTCAGTAGCGGACAGCCAATCACACGCCGAGAAAGAGTGAAACTGCGATCCCCTTCTCGCGAGAGAAGCAGCGTGATTCACTTCTCTCTTCTGCAGAATATGACGAGATTGAAAAATATAAAAAATTGAAACAAATTTACTCAGCAAGAAGAGTTGCCTATGAAAGACGACAACTAAAAGTTTTTTTTTGCTATATCAGTGCAAGTAAAAGTTACGAAGTTAGTTTATAAAATTGATAGGTATAGAGAGAATTGAACATTTAAGCTCATATGCAGTCATTTCTATACTTTTATCTATTGATTCTAAAGCTTATTTATATTACTATGATGGCAATTCCTTTTACTTCATGTAATATATGAGCTTGCTTGACAACAGAATAGCTTAGTGGAAAATGAATGTGTCCAAATGTCATCTCAGATGAGCTTAAAGATGTCTTTGCAACCAAAGGTGTTACATGTTGACATCCTGCCGTTTCTTCGAAACAGTACCTCCTACTTTGGGCCCAGAGAATAAGACAATAAAATGTCCTTATTTGGTGTAGATCATAAAGCGAGGCTGTCGTTCTCTGGAGAATAACTCTGTCTGATTCAGCCTCAATTATCACCCCTCAAGAACAACTACACCGCTTTACAACTATAGGACAGGAAGAGCTAAATAAACTTATCATTGCATCTAAACCAACAACATGTTCATTAGATCCAATACCCACTAAACTACTGAAAGAAGTGTTACCTGAAGTGGAAGAGCCTCTTCTCAATATTATTAACTCGACTTTATTTTTAGGTCATGTTCCAAGAATATTCAAGCTGGCAGTAATAAAACCTCTTATTAAGAAACCGCAATTAGATCAAAATAACTTAGCAAATTACAGACCCATTTCAAATCTTTCATTTATGTCTAAAATACTAGAAAAAGTTGTGTCCGCTCAATTGTGGTCTTTCTTGCTAGAAAATGAGATATATGAAAAATTTCAGTCAAGATTCAGACCACATCATAGCACAGAAACTGCGCTAGTTAAACTTATAAATGATTTACTTTCAGCTTCTGACCAAGGCTGTATCTCAATACTAGTTCTACTCGATCTTAGTGCTGCGTTCGACACTATAGATCATAAAATACTCTTGGATCGACTACAAAACTACACTGGTGTTCAGGGACAGGCATTAAGCTGGTTCAGATCGTACTTATCAGACCGTTACCATTTTGTCTGTTTAAATGGGGAAAAATCGAAGATAACGTCAGTAGACTATGGAGTGCCGCAAGGATCGGTGTTAGGCCCTCTGCTATTCTCAATATATATGCTGCCACTTGGTAAGATTATAAGAAAACATGGAATTAATTTCCACTGCTATGCTGATGACACTCAATTATATATTTCATCACGACCAGATGAAAACACTAACTCATCAAAATTGACAGAACGGAGATATTACTTATTGGTCCAAAAAACTACCCACAAAATCTCTTACAATACAACTTTAATTTAGATGGATGTCCTGTTACTTTATCCACTACAGTAAAAGACCTGGGTGTTATACTAGACCGCAACTTGTCTTTCGAAAATCATATTTCATATGTTACAAGAACTGCCTTTTTCCACCTTAGAAACATTGCTAAATTACGTAACATGCTTTCTGTTTCTGATGCAGAAAAGTTAGTTCATGCATGCATGACCTCGAAACTAGATTACTGTAATGCCTTATTAGCTGGCTGTCCTTCATCCGCAATAAACAAGCTACAGTTAGTGCAAAATGCAGCCACTAGAGTTCTCACTAGGTCAAGAAAATATGATCACATAACACCAATTTTATCATCTCTACACTGGTTACCTATTAAGTTCCGTATCAATTACAAAGTTTTACTACTGATCTATAAAGCCCTAAATGGTTTAGCTCCTGTGTATTTAATGGACCTTCTATCGCCCTACAATCCATCGCGTTCTTTAAGATCACTAAATTCGAGGCTTCTGGTCATTCCTAGGATATCTAAGTCCACTAAAGGAGGGAGGGCGTTCTCACATTTAGCTCCTAAACTCTGGAATAGCCTTCCTGATACTGTTCGTTGCTCAGACTCGCTCTCCCAGTTCAAAACTAGATTAAAGATGCATCTCTTTACCCAAGCATTCACATAATGCTTACCTTTTATACCACTGTTGAATCAGATCGAATGCATTAATATTTTGAACAGCAGCTACGCTAATTATTTCCCATCTGCTTTTCTGCTGTTATCTCGGGACGCTAGTCCCGAGGTAAATGGCGTTCGTCAGCTCCAGTTTGTATCCAGCCTCTCACGGAGACTTCAGACGCTCCAACACCTGCGATGAGATGACTAAACGCCTATGAAGAGACGACTCAACGCCTGTGAAGAGACGACTCAACGCCGGCGATATGTTATGCCCTAAATTAATACATGATGATTAACTAACTATATTCTTTTATGTACATTTCTGAAATGCACTTTCTGTAAAGCTGCTTTGAAACAATATGTATTGTGAAAAGCGCTATACAAATAAATTTGAATTGAATTGTCTGTATGTGAACGACCATTCTTACAGAAATAAAATACTTAAAGGCATTTCCTGAGTGATTTGCTTCATTAGTCTCACTATTAAATAAATAATTTCCTCAAAATTACCTTTTTATATATTTATATTAATTTAAACTAAGCGCTTAATAACAATTGCTAAACTAACATGTGTGATTAAGGGTATAATAATTACATAATATCTAAATCTTACAAAATTATTATTATAAACAATCATTCTCAAAAGCCAGACTATTTTGTCTTTAAAAATGATTTTCTCACAGCTGATTGGTCCCTTTTCTCACAGCTGATTGGTCCAGTTTTGGTCTGAGATCTCTTACCTGGAACATGACCTGACCCGGAGCAGGTTAGCCGTGAAGCGCCAGTTATGTGGCGATGAACAAAACCACTTTCATGGAGCCTAAAACCCAGGCTTGGCGCAAACTAAACTGAAACACACCTGTTGTAACGGTGGCAGCCTTAACTTCAGGAATTTAATTGTAAATTAATTCCTTAAAATAACTTTTAAAAATTGGTGTGCCAGGCAGAATTAAATTCACCAAAAGAATTCAAGTTAATAATTTAACCCAGGATAACTCAAACCACCAATTACACAAAATTAGATAAAGTTATTAAATTCATTCACAAAAAAAAAAACATCACACACAAAAGATTCAATACCAAATTGTAATATTGGCCAGCCCGTGACCCGGACACCGATCTAGCTCAGCCATCTTGAAGGACATCTCAGTTCTCTAACTGCACCGCGAGGAATGAGGAGTGCGAAGTGAGGAGTGCGGAGTGAGGAGCGCGGAGTGAGGAGCGAGGAGTGAGGAGCGCGGAGTGAGGAGCGAGGAGCACGATGAGAGGAGTGAGGAACAAGGAGCGAGGAACAAGGAGTGAGGAGCGAGGAGTGAGGAATGAGGAGCGAGGCGCGAGGAGTGAGGAGCGAGGAGTGAGGAGCGAGGAGTGAGGAACGAGGAGCGCATAGTGAGGAACGAGGAGCGCATAGTGAGGAGCGAGAAGTGAGGAGCGCATAGTGAGGAGCGAGAAGTGAGGAGCGAGGAACGAGGAGCGCGGAGTGAGGAGCGAGGAACGAGGAGCGCGGAGTGAGGAGCGCGGAGTGAGGAGCGCGGAGTGAGGAGCGCGGAGTGAGGAGCGAGGAGCGCGGTGCGAGGAGCAAGGAGCGAGGAACGAGGAGCGCGGACTGAGGAGCGCGAAGTGAGGAATGAGGAGCGAGGCGCAAGGAGTGAGGAGCGCGGAGCGAGGAGCGCGTAGTGAGGAGCGAGAAGTGAGGAGCGAGGAACGAGGAGCGCGGAGTGAGGAACGAGATGCGCGGAGTGAGGAGCGCGGAGTGAGGAGCGCGAAGTGAGGAATGAGGAGCGAGGCGCGAGGAGTGAGGAGCGCGGAGTGAGGAGCGAGGAGTGAGGAGCGAGGAGTGAGGAACGCGTAGTGAGGAGCGAGAAGTGAGGAGCGAGGAACGAGGAGCGCGGAGTGAGGAGCGAGGAGTGAGGAGAGCGGAGTGAGGAGCGCGGAGTGAGGAGCGCGGAGTGAGGAGTGCGGAGTGAGGAGCGAGGAGCGCGGTGCGAGGAGCAAGGAGCGCGGAGTGCGAAGCGAGGAATGAG